ATCGCCTATGCAAACTGTAGTGTCTAACGTTAGTAAATTCAGAAAACTCGGACAAGACTGTCATATGATAGAAATATTATTTTTATCTAACGTTTTAGAAGTTTGCATATGATCTTTCAAATTCCTCAACATGTTACAGATAGAGAAACAAATGTAATTATCCAGTAAATATAATATATAATGATATACAGCAGTCTTTTTCGAATTGAAACATTTTTATACAAATTTCGGCCTTTTTATTTTGCGCAAATGAAAAGAAATAAAATTCCATGTCAAAAGTTTAAAATATGAATGAAAAATATCTCTCATTTTCTTAGGAAAGAGAAGAACAAAAGATTGCTGTATTCATATGCAGGGTTTAAAAATGCATGTCTCACGTGAAGTAGTAATTTGCAGATGAAAATTGTGATAATACGTAAACGTGTTAATATTCTTTCAGCAGTTTCTTAAAAAAAAAAAGGCTTTTTCGTATACTGAATCTTTCTCTAAGAGAATCCCATTTGAGATTACCAATAAAAGCAGTTTGCGACAGTCTTGGCTCCGAGCTGTCTGACCTGAATAAGGGAAGCCTTTGACTTGCGTTCTAAAAAAAAAATGATTCTTGGGTCACTTAATATGTGCATCTACAAAAATTAATTCGAGAGATTAATTACTAAAAAAACTTTTTAAGTAAATGAAAATAGCTAAATAAAATACAAAGAGAAAGAATCATTACGTAATATTATTATTAATATATGCATTGATTCTAACGTACAAAACAAATAGTATATTTCAAGCCGATAGCATTCTTTCGTAATAAAAGAAACGCGCCAAGGGAAATTTCATATCGATAAAATTGCAAAGAGAAAATCCCTTGAAAAAGGAAAAACTCTGAAAAATGTAACAAGAGAAATCTTGAGAAATTGTTTCTTTGTTGAAAAAAATTCGAAAATTTTAATTAATTACTAACATTTTATGCAAATTATCGTAATTTTTAAATAATATTATTGTTAGAAACGAGAAACAAAAGATTTTTTAAAATAAAGGTTTTTTTTATAACAAATATTTTTACAGAACTTTAGAGAAGAAGGTGATATTATGGCACCCCAGTTACATTTTACACAATAACTTTATTAATAATCAATATTTAAGTTTAAAACTTGTCAATTACATTTATTAAAATGTTATTGACTCGATTTTGGATTCAAAGTTACGAAAGATTTATTACTTAGGACACTATTAATAAAAATGTGATGACATTGCATAATGATGCAAAGAAAAAAATTAATGGTAATGTGGCCTTCCATAAAAATAGCCTTAAAATATTAATTTTGTTTAGAAAGTAGTACAAAATTAACAAAAAAATAAAATATTTTTAAATGTATGTAAATGAATGTATATACATTTATATAACTTCTGCATATAAACTGCTCAGTAAAAATAGTACATGTAATATAAATTATAGATTAATAGAGATAGAGCTATAATCGATTATCAAATAATTATTTTGATATAAAAACCTCGTAATATAAAAAAAGAGATCGTGAGTAATCAATACCCATAGAAGGTTGCATTAGCAAAATGCAATGCTATTGTTTAAATTTGCATAATTCAAAATATATATACAGTCAAATAAAATGTTAAATAGCAAATAACACTCAAAAATACATATATTCATGTGATAATACGCTCAAGTTTAACAAAAATGAGGAAGTAGGTGTAATTAAATGCTAAAATATACTTAGAAACGAAATACTTGAAAGCAAAAATTATAATAAGTGCTGGCTATTAAGTATCGGTATATTAGCGTCATAGTGTAACGGCGAACTATTGAACAAATAATTCCATAAGTAATCATTAGGATTCGCTATACTTTAATAAGCGGAGATATTAAGGGAGGCCATAATGTATACTCTTCTATTATATTATATTAATTATCTAATATATTATCTAACATATAATAAATAATTATCTAAAATATTATATTAAGAATTATCTTGAAGCAAAAGTAAATAGTGAGAATAAAAGAACTTATCTTTTAATTAGTATTAGTAAACTTTAATAGAAATAATATCTTCAAACACATACACACACACACACACACACACACACACACACACAAAAACCTATGTAATTATAATTATTTCAAATAATCAGAGAAATAAATAAATTTCACGAAGAAAATTTTCTAGGGAAACTGAGATAATAGATCAAGACAAAAAACAAGAAAGAATAAACTTAATAATGTAAAAATTTACATACATAATACATATATATGTATTATAGATATATATATTTTTAAAGAAATATAATATCTATGACGTTCTTAGTCAAATTTATAGATCAATTTAAATTTTAATAGACTCATATAAAAGATGTTTTAAATTATTGTTTTGCGTAAAATTTAAACTTTGTTTTCTGAAAGATCGCAAAAAATTCGTTTTCTATACGTTCTTCTTTGGCGTATCTCAAAGTAGAAGTTTGACTTACTATCGCGTAGAAAAGCGACATGAGGGAATTCTTAAGAGAAATGTTTTACTTACTCCGAGAAAGAGGATGTCAGGTCAACGTTCATATTTAGTTCATCACATACTGAGCATGACTTTAGGGTAACTCCAGCAAATACGCCACGCTGGGATTTACGCCGCAGAAGTTAGAAAAAATAGAAGAAGTGGGAGTAATTTTCCCGCAACTACTTTATTACATGCTTTTATGTTATATTAGTATTGTGTTAATATATTAATGAAATTATTGTGAGTTGATCGATTTGAGTAACATCACCGTGTTGAGTAACATCATCATAAATTAAAATCTACATAAAATGATTACTGTAGGACGAGCAAAAGGCTTATTCGTGATACATGAGTGTAGAGAAATAGTAAAGCATGTTGTATAACAAAATACAAATACTTTGTTCTTGTATTCTTTGTTTAGTTTGTTGTCTTGTATATCCCACTTATTTGGGATATATGGCATTTTTAGCGGACAGGATTTATGCCCAAAGTATACAAAGTGAGCAGATTGAATACAATAACAATACTAAACGCATTACATGAAATATGTATCTCAAGTCATAACGTTTATAATACATATGGGAAGATTGTAATTATTATTTATTACTTCATATACATATTTATAATTTTTATTTCTTAATAAAACTTTATAAACGCATTTTATAAGTTATTGTGTCATTTTACAACTTATTTATATGCATTATTTGTAAATTTTTTATGTGCCGTACATATTCTCTCTCCCTCTATGAATAGCCATATATCCCACCCTCACATACGGCAAAAATACAAGGGTTTAAAAAAGTTCATTTTTTAATACGCGAAATATAAATATTTCGGATTTCCAATATTTTTTTTTCATAATAATAGACAAAGTAGTACAAAGTACTGATATAGTTCGTTTACTTTAAATATAGTAAATAATACTTAATAAATTAAGTTTTTGATAGGTGCAGCGTATATACCGGAGTTACCCTATTCATATGGTTATTCACAATTTTCATCAAACTTTTTGGTAACGGTTTGGTATTTTTGATATTTCTAGTATTTGATAAAAATGGATATCTTAATAAAAATCTTAATTATGCATTTATTTGCTGTCCTTTTTAATGTGAAATAAAATTTGAATTTCTTTTTATTAAAAAAAAAAAAAAAATATATCTATCATTATATACCTTTTTATTTTTGTTAATTTTTTGGTATCTTTATTTTCTTTTTAACTTCTAATTTCTTATTGAATTTTTCTCTCTCGGGTGTTGCAAAGTGAATTACTGATCACTAAAAACTTATTTTGTGTAAAATATTATTTATTTTATGTAAAAGATATGTTGCGTTATCCATACACATAAATATATACGTTTGTTCGAAACTTCTTACAATAGCATAATATCTTATCCTTCACGCACATTATTTCTGTATTTGCAGTCAAGATGATAACTCTGCATACCGACCATTTCAGTAAACGATCGTGCAATTGATGCGTGATTCATATTTAACTGCACGCGGACTATTATGTTATAATAAGAAGTTTAAAACTTTTATTTTTTTATGTCGCGTATGTTTGCAAAAGTTTGTATAAGAGAAATGAGAAACTTATTTCTTCTTTGTGATTTATTTCTTCTGTGTGTTAGCTATTATTCCATCATACACATATATATAACAGGCTGAGATTAGGACCCTGTGTGGTTTGTTTCTATCACATACTTAACAAGTTTGAACTTTCTCTATTTATCTGCCTAACTTTTTATCTGCACAAGTTTATTTGCAAAAATAAACTACAAAAAATTATTATGAGTATAATAAAATAGAAAGTAGAACAATGCATGGCAAGAAATAAAATTTTGAGATATTTATATCAATATGATTGACACTGTTATTGTTTTACATCTTCTATATGTATTTTGAAATTCTTAATCTTATATCTTTTCCATTTCATCATATTATTTATGAATAATACGAAAATACATGCAGTTGATTGCCATTATGAAGGCTCAGCTTGATGAAAATAAGTTCATCGGATCACGTAATGGTTGTGACAACGAATTAAAATCAAGTGAATGATGGATGTAATAAGGTTATACGCTTCATAGAAAAACAGATGCTTTTGATTAGCATGAATAATTGGTTCTTGTTGATGCTCTAATTAATTATATAACAAGTTGACAAATACCTGAAAGATATTAAATTTTAAAACAGAAGTATAATTATTGAGTATTATTTTTATTTTAGGTTTATAATAAAGCGATACAGTGCGGATTAGACAGAGCAGTAAATTGTAAATAATATTTAATGCTGTTGTATCACAAGAAAAATTTTGTTTTAACAGCAGAGTGTGTTAAATAATTAAATAATAATTTTCATTGTTTTCTGAAGTATAACATAATAAAAATCTTTCTCTTGTTATTTTATCTAAGTAACTAAAATTTATATACAATGTTGCACCTGTCTTTCCACACCGATAAATCAAGTTAAACGCAAATTGAACTGAATGCACGGATTGTTCTGTTCCAGAAATGAATGAACTTCAGTGAACTTTTAATTGCCGTCAACATGCCTGTCAAAGGAGTTCGGGTGCTACCAGACATACCGAAGAATATGCCAAACATGGAGATCTTGATTCAGGAGTTCGAAACTGGTTTCTGCTCGATGTCGACTAACTACCAGGATACCGCATCGAAATCGTCAACTTCGAACGACGGCAATTTCGTTAAGAAGCTCGTCAAAGCTTACGAGTCAAGCGTAAGGGCATCTAACGAGAATAGTCAGCGAGAAGGAACTAAAGAAAAATTCGGTTTCTTTAATACTCTTGATGTTACTCAGAATCAAAAGAACGTAGAAAAAAATGACTCGAATCTTGCGACATACGATACGCCCAGTTCGCAATGTCAAAATAACTTAAATAAAAAATCCAAGATCTTTTTAACTTCGTTTGAGGAATGCGAAGTCGAAGATGATTTTGTGATTGTTAATCGATATCATTCGGAAAGCGATAAAAAACCAGTTTCGATGACGTGGCCGCGATCCTCTTCTAAGATTAACATGTACAGCTCCATTGGCGATGATATATTGATGAATGTACAATCCAGTCCCTCGAAGAAGAATGAAACGTGGGACCTGAAAAAGAGAGATATAAAATTGGAAGATAACTCGATGAAGAATAAATTAATGATTTGCTCAAGTCCTTTGGAGGATATTGAAGACACAAACTTGGACTACGAGGATCCTCTTGATGACATTTTGACAAGTTCTTGCGACTCGAGCAGCAATAACAGCTATAGAAATTTACAAGCCGACCTATATGACTTCGAAAACAAACAATGGCAGCTCGAACTCTCCTCGACCTCATTGTCATCGTTGTCATCTTCCTCGAGATCATCATACAACAATCTGTTAAGTATAAATAGCGATCTGCTGTTGGATTCATCTTTTCAAGACATAACATCTTCTAAAAATATTCCGAAGAACCAAGAGAATCTTCAGAATTTCAAACCGGTTCCAAGTTCATCGTCTAACTTCGACCGGAAATCGCCAACAATTGGCGCTTTGCTGAATGAAGATCAACCAATTAAGATTAATGACGATACGTGCATAACATGGATATCAGCGTTGGGCGAGAAACTGTCACGAAAAAAACCATTGAAAAAGTTACTAAATTCGACATTCTATACCAAACTATTGAACTATAAGAAAGTCTGGAAAAAATCGGCAGAGAAACAACAGAATAAACGTACTTCCGATTCTGGATTTATCGATCAATTTTTGTCCTCGTCGTCTTCTTCACAAAAATCCTGGCGCTTCGATCCTGAAAAACCGACTTTCAGTACCTTCGGTCACACTGAAAATGATTGCGTCAATAATAAGGTGTCCAAGAGTTCTCGCATGGTCTTGACCGAAGTGCCCTGCACAACCACTGTCTACAAAGAGAACCGTCAGAACATCGAATCTTCATTGAAAAGCATGCCTGTAAATTCTTCAACGTTGAAAGTCTCTTGCGGATACCCGCCGCTTCTTAAGCACCCTTATCTGACCCAAAATGTGATCCCCAAACATCCCTTCGTCACGAAGACAAAGCTGGATCAAACAATAGAGAAGGAGTCAGATGACGAAGAGATGAGATACGACGCGAAGGAATGTAAATCTGAATTGGAATCTTCAAGTATGTCGTTTGTGTCTGAAGCTGATCTTAACATCTTATTCTCCAGAATGTCCGAATGGTTAACTTCATCTCCAAACAACAACTGCGATCTGTTGAGGTAATTATATTGATAATAATACTATTATTATAAATTATAACAATAATTATTATTAATTACTAATAGATTATTAATACGAGAGGAAAGCAGAAAATAAAGTGAATTTATGTGTTCCTTATGTATATTACACGTTAGCAAAATATATACAACATTATTTTTCAATTTAATCACTCAGTTTTATAAAAACATTTTGTGTAACGATTTACAAGTCCTCTGATTTCGTTTGTGAAGAAGGGGGAATTTTGACTTCGAAATCATTACTTTCTGTGTAAGGAATAAATAAATTCGCTTTACTATCTGACTTTCCCTTGTATTTAATATTAATAATATTATTATTATTAGTAATAATAATATAAAAATGATTTATTATATAAAAATGAAAATATGATAATATACAGAGTGTCTATAAAATCTTTATATTTTGGAAACGGTTCAAAATGATGAAAAACCGCAAAATATGTGTTCAATCATTTTGAGGGGTTACTCTTTGAACGGAGGAGAGTCGGGGAGATTCTCTTCCTAAGGGGATGCCCAAGGGAGATCTCAAAAATTTCAAATCCCCTTTATTGTAACATATCATACGAAAGAGCATAAAAAAAAACTTTTGGTTCATTGCGGAAGTTGATACATTGACTCATTCGGGAGTTATTCAGTGTCAAAGTTTGAAAAATTTTATTTGTTCTTATCTTCAATATGTGTTGGATTTATTGTAGTAACTATTCAAAATGGACACCGTTTACTTCGTGGCAGTAAAACAATCGATTATAAAATTCCTGTCTTTTATACGGGTGAAATTTGTGTCGTTTTAAAACTTTGACAATTGTAGTTTTGGGAATATTGCTTTCATTACTAACAACATTGTAAGTTGTTTTAACGATGTTGGTTTAACAAAGTTGTTTGACCATCTGCAATTTACACGATCTATTATTTCTATTTCCTGTGACATCGTCTATCTTTTGTCTACCAGATCGTGGCCAGTCTTTAACACTTTGTGTTTCTCAAAATTTTGTTACAAATTGCTGAACGTAAACGCGACTTATTGGACGTTCTGGACTAATTTCATTAAAACGCCTCGCTGTTGCACAGTAATTACGGCCATACTCTGTGTAAAGAAAAATAATCTTTACCTTGTTCTCAGCAGAACGCGCAGATCGATCACAATCCATTGTAAAGAGTATAGTAATTGGGATCCAAATTGAAAAACTAAGTTAACTGCACGAACTGTCGATGTCCAAAGCATTTTCGGTTACTAATATACTATTTTTTGTTGTGTGTAAGGTATGCTCTTGCAGAAATGTTATTGTATGTAGAATAGAGAGATATATAAAGAGAGTAGCGCACCAATTAGCCGGAAGTTGCCATTTGGTGTTCTACATCTGGGGTATCTATATGATGCAATTCCTTGTCTTAATCTCTTCTTTCTTAATATTGCTTCTTTCTAACTAACAATAAGAATACCCAATGGCGAAACCAATCAGCATTAAGCGATGTCTACAATGAGATTTTAAGGCGTAAAAGATTTTAAACATTAAGCCGTAAGAAATTTACCGATCATAATCACGTATTCTCCTTACATTTGATTGTGATTGGTCAATTTCTTACGGCTTAGAGTTTAAAGCTTGAGTTTTATGTCTCAAAATTTCATTGTAGACGCCGCTTTAGGCACACGCATTGGTGCTACTCTCTTTATACTTACTCTAATTATATGTGAATTCCAGCACGCTCGAGCGCGCTTTGAATCACAACGGATTATAGCAGTTTATAAGCATATTTAAGAAAACATTTCCGAACATAAGATAGGAATTTCATAATCGATTATTTTACTGTTAAAAAGTTATCGGTTTTGAGCAGTTATTGCAATAAATCCAACACATATTGAAAGTAAGAACAAGTAAAATTTTTCAAACTTTGACACTGAATAACTCCCGAATGGATCAATGTACCTCCATATTGTACCTCCATAGTCAACCTCCATATTGAATCAAAAACTTTCTTTTTTCAATGCCGTTTTATATGATATGCGACAATACCTCTGGGGCATCCTCTTAGAGAGGAAATCTCCCCGATCCTCTCAAAAGAGTAGCCTCTTGAAATTATTGAACATGTATTTTGCGGTTTTTCATAATTTTGAACCGTTTTCAGAGGCGGTAAGAAACTTATAGACACCCTGTATAATGATATACATGCAATATAATTTTATGTATATATACGTATATATATGTACATAAAATTATATATTATTATATATTATCATTTGTATATAAAATAACATAATATATGTAAATATATACAATATTTTAAAATGTAATAATTAATAATACAATAGCAATAATGGACAAAAACGAAATTTTATTTTGATTTTTTCGTTTTTTATGGTGTTATACATATATAAAGATAATAAATAATAAAATAATAGTTTCCATAATTTGCAATGCAAACACAATTCGATTACTTTAATAAATATGTATATGTATATGAATATATTCAGGTCACGTTTATATAAATCAACGTCAGCACTCGATGAGTTTGCTCTTCAGCAGACACCGGATCATAATGTTCCTAAGTTGTGCAACTTCAGCATGAATTTCTTATCTACCACACATAACATGCAGAGAGAGTCTTGCATGCGTTATGCCACCATTAGTCCAAAGAATTTAAGATTTTCCATATCACGGGAGAAATCACAAGCGATCGAAAGGTGTTTCGACATCTAGAAGGGTGCTAGCGATATTCTTTCTTTCGGAAGAACTTTTAGGGTGGAAATTTTCCAGATTGAAATTTAATTAAACTTCGTCGCTGAATAGTACGTCACGCTGGATAGTAATCTATTTAAATTACGATCAAGCTTCCCACAATTGGAAGTAGGTCTTTGAAAATTAATTTACGATCGTTTCACACAATTATTTATAGTTCAAACTTATAATTCTAGTGCACGTCACTTTACAATTAGATGTTGGAGCGATGATTCTGTTATACTGATTTACTATTAGGTCGATGAGAGCAATTTCGATTTATGTTTTGTTTGTAGCATTTGCTATTTACGCCGCAATGGTTGACAGATCATTGGCAGATTTGCTGAGTCAATTTGCTCTGACGTAGTGATATTAACTGTTATTGCAAATTTCGGAGTATCGTTGTATAATTGTTATACTCAATAGGATTCTAATTCAATGAGAATTTTTACTGATAATTTAAGTTGTATATCTATTTAGCTATTTATTACTCTATTATATTTATATAACGATACTCAACAAAGTATTGAATCTTGTGTAAGTCCTACAATAATTATCTTTCATAGCTTTTATAGCTACAATTTTATATATCGATTTCGATGCGAGATTATTCTTGTATAATTAAAACACGTACGGGAATGTGCCAATTAAAAATGTGATCCAAAAAATTGAAAATTAGACTTGTATGCGTCTCGTTTGTCTTCTTTTTCTAAAACCATCAACATGAACACTCGGAGAGATTTCCACCAAAAAGAAGTTGAACGATCATGTAATTTTATTCTTTGCGAACTTTTTATCGAAAAAAAGGTATATATAGTAATACGTCACGCATTCTTCATAAATTTCGCGAATTAGCACTCGAGATCGCATTTTTAATCTATCTTTTTTTAGCTTTAACATTAGATTCAATTAATCTTTCTGTCGTATTACGCAAGAGGTAAAAGGAATTTGACATTTATAGTTCCATTTACTTGTTCGTTTCTTTCGTCGAAATCGATAAGTTTCAACAGACAGATTCGTGATATCGTATAAATCTCGTTTATTTCTTGCGAAATGATACAACGAAGATTCTTTCAAAGACAAGACCACACGAAGAACGATATCATGTAATCTCCTCTCTTATTGACAAAGATACTCTCCTCGAGTCTCTCGTATTTCTTTCGGAAATGTTGAAGAAGACCTCGAGCAGCAGTGAACGGATTGATAATTGTAGAATAACGATTTTGCGGTTCTTGGCGTAGAAACTTATATATCATAGTTTACTATAAGATTTATTTATATTAAGAGATAAGTAATATTTTTTAATACGACAGTGTATACACTTGACCGAACACATATTGTGTTCGAGAGATTAATATATACAAAATGTTATCCAAATTCAGAATTTTACGTATCCTATTCAATAAGTAAATCCTTTTCATCTTCTTTATCATTTTTACAATTAATTTTGGTGTCAGATAAATATTTTCCTTTACTAAGATTGGATTTATGAACACATTTTAACGGAATACTTGTAGAAATTATACAAAGGAAGAACGGTTTTGCTAAAGTATTCAGAAATTTAGTTAGGTACAGATCTGAAAATAATTTTATTGGATTATTAAAATAATTATGAAAGGGTTTAATCTGGTTGCTAGAATGTCAAAACTTTTTGCAGCATTGCTCATCATACTTAAGATTCCTATGTAATTACTTTGATGATTCAACAAAATTATTTTAAAATCTATATCTAGTTAAATTTTTTGTTAAAATTCAGCAAAATTGTTTTTTCCATATTTTTATTTTAAAATATTGCCTATATCTTTTAAAAATGTATAGCTTTTAAAAATTACATATTGACGTGTGCAAAGCTTTAAATTTCCAAGTTCCTTTTGCTTAGATATTTGTCAAGGATGTTTTACGAATTTAAAATTAACGATATGAATGAGGAACAACATCGTCAACACAATAATACCAGTACAATAGAAATTTTGAATAGCAAGCAATGTGACGAAATTTATTTATACTTAACGATTAATGTCACGTCAATTTGCATGAAATTCGCACCCAAGCGTTCTACATAAAATGCCCACGACAACAATCATCTGGCATAAAAATGGCAAACACGTAATAATAAAGAAGGGATATGTTTGCTCATGTTTGTTTGATAAAGATATTCTATAATATAATGGAAACGACGACCGAGAGGCGTTATTGTCATGATTGTATAGAAACATAGAAACTGTAGACTTTTCATAAAAAAAGCTATTCGTTTCGAAGGATGGCTGCTCATTTCGTCGCGAAACATTGTCATTCTCTTAATCCTTCGATAACGAAACTTGTTCCACAAGATTGTTACAGCTCGCATCTCTTCGTAAATTTTTTGCAACCATATTTATTTTTGTCTAACTTAATTTTAAACAATTGTAATGATATTATGTCAATTCAATTTTATTAAAAATTAATTATAAATATTAAATGAAATTTTGAGAACAATATTTATTAAAAACCAAAATTTGTTAAAAAATTGTTTATCTATCTGATGTGAAATTAATTCAATGATATTATGTTATTTGTGTTATTTGTTGAGGACCACATTGGAAGTTTATAATTGCTTATGCAATTATACAACATTATGATTGTCGGTAATCGTAACATATCATTAGCTGTAAACTAACAATTGTTCGAGTGATAGTATGACAAGCGACAAATTCGGAAATTCTATTATCGTTTATCTATCTCGTCTCGTGAAATTCAATTAAGCCTCAAAACCGCACCGAGTTTGTCAGCTCCGTTCTTCGTTCTCTAGTTCGATTTCAGCGTGTCGAATTCGTTAAACCTTTCACTGTATATACTATCGCGGAAATATCGCTCGTAAAAAAATGGACAATTTGAAACGGATTTATTTGTTTTACACTTTTTAATTTACAAAATCAGAATTTAGCTTAAAAACTTTTACATTTCTATTTTTTATATTTCTGTGTATCTATTCTAATTTGTAAATCAATCGCAGATTACAAAAAAGAATTAACACAATGATCACTTTTCAAAAAATTAATTAAATTTAAAAAATATTACAGTACAATACGTTTTTATACGTTTCGCAGACGTCTAGAACGTTATTTCACGAGGAATATAAAGTGGGTAAAATATAAATATTAATTGTTAAAAAATATTAATTATTATTATAATAACGTGTTCCCTGTATAAAATTTAAATTTTTTAATTCAAATTTAAAAAATTCATTCTCTTTGAATATTTGCCATTCTTAGAACATCGAGCCGGCATATCACGTACGATCGTTCGATGACGTAGATAGTGGCGTTGCAGTTTTCCGCCCACGTTAAAAATGGGCAATGACGTAAGTATATCTATTGAAACTCGCCCACGTGTGTACGTACGGGATAATATATAATATCTCTGGGGACATTTTCTTCTATAGATTCCACAATCATTTTTTTTCTTTGGTCAATCTTTTCATCGCAAAGGAAAAAGAAAACATTTTAATTGAAAGCAATCCTTCCGCAACATTTGGATGTTTTAATAAAAAGAGAATATTCAACGAAAGAAAAAAATAACGTGCTATTTTTTATATGCTGCAACTGTGAAATATACAGATAATCAATATTATATCGATTCTGAAATTAAAGCAAGTGTACAAGAAATTTGGGTTGTATGAATCTCGAATGTTTATCTTTATATTTGGCGACAAGAAAAATCTCATTACTTAAGCACTTCTCTTCTTAGAGAAAAGATCGAAGAAGATTTACGGTTCATCGAATCATAAATTTCCCTAAGTTTTAAGATTATACTGCTATTTCCAGCGACGACGATTTCTATCATTGAAAAAGCAAGTTAATAAACTCATTTAGCCGAACTTTATATCTCCCCTGAGTCATCGCAAATAATACGGCAAGACCAGTCGAAAATATGTTAGCAAAATTATATTATAGATATTTCCACATTTTAGTTTTTATGAATATAATTGCGCTATCATATACAAAAAAATCTTTCTCAATTTCAATATCAACTGCTTTTTTAAATTTTTCCTGTGTAAAAGTTTATATTTTATTAAAATGTTTAAAACAATCTTATAATAATATAAAACATTTAAGATTAATAAAATTATTTTTATAAAAAATTTTAAATAACAAAATGTTTTAAATAACAATAAAAGCGTTTAAAAAATAATAAAATTTTTAAAAATATCTATAATCAAAATTTTACGTAGAGGAGATCGGGGCTGATTATCATACAGGATTGATTGTTAAAATACTCATAACTCAAACAGAATATAATTTACAATCTCTTTTTTGACTGTAAATTGCTATTATAATATTGATTTGTTTAATTAATTTTGCACCATAAACATTAATTATATATTATTTATAACGATTTTTAAGAAAATAAACTTGGTAAATTGTTCTTATTATCTATTTTGCTGTCTGACAAGTCTTTAGCATTATTAATTGCGATATCCTAGTATTCAAAATGACATTTTAGAAAATCTTTGCTACAATTAATCATTATCCTGATAAAGTTTGTGAATACAATCTCTTTTATAATTAAATGGCTATGTGGAGTAGATTGACCAAAATGAGAGATAAGGTGACAATTAATTTTAATATCTTTAGAGAACATATTTTTGGAGAATATACTTAGAAATATATTATATTTCATATAAATATACATGTTTCTTTTATTTTTCATATAGAAACTATGGTACAAAAATAAATTTATTTTATGATTAAAATAACTATTTTATTTGTACCATACTATTTATTAATACCATAATTATTTCTTAAATATATATAGAACTGATATTAAAATAAAAATTGCATTTTTTATATGTGTTGTCTATAACAAATATGCTACTATCAATCCTAGAACATGTGATAATCAACCTAAAACACAACACATTTTAACAAAAGTTAAAATAAGTAAACGGATTGATGCTGAGAGTTATGGTAGAAACAACTCAGTATCAATCCATTATTTATTTTAACTTATGTTCAAGCTATTTATATGACGAATACTTTCTTCGAGTATTTGTATGAAGAAGGATCCAAATTGGCGATCAAAATGTCTACCTTTTAATGTA